TCCCGCAAGTATTCATCGCATCCTTTGTATTTCAAACGCACCGCCGCAAACAGAAGGCCCACGTTTAAGCCAACACCAGGCGACTGACAGCGACTCGCTGGCTACAGCTGATAAAGGTTTTTGACGGGCCAACGCGGCTGACATGAACGCTTCACCCCTGAACTGAAGTAGATACTGATAGTGTTACCAGCATACGTAACGCACTGTAACGTAGTTTCACGACCTTTATAATATTTTCGAAAAATGAATTTTACAGAGAAAAGAATGTCAGTCTGCAAAAGCCCAGTCATCAACATTATTAGTACTATGATCATATATTTCAAAATCGTCATGAAAAGAGACGTAAGCCCTTTTTTCAATTTGGGTAGCCAAATACATCATTAACAAATACACTGAAAACAAAGGGTCCTAAAGTGACTGTATACTTCACAACATACGAAAATGAAAGTGTTTCAGAAACACGAACAGAAAATTGTCTACTACGAATTGGAATAGCCATAAGAAAGTCAAACGTTAGTACGCTTACGAAGAAGTAAATTATGGGAACAATACCGAAATCATAACTTAAATAAAAGTATACAGAACCAGTTCGACCCCGTGTACTCACACAGGATATTTGGTTGTTTATTTTATGACGTTTTCAGCAGCTTAATAATTACATCGTCGGATGACTTGGAAGAGATATGAAAATAAGAGACCCAGGATCGATTGAGGAAAACCTCAGCCAGGGTAGCCAGTGAAGGAGGAATGCAAACCACTCGCTAACGATGAAGTTACAGACAGCATTAAGATAACGAACGAAATTGGTTCAGGTGGAATGTTCTTGGTAGGCATGCTAATAGCAATGACAACAGTAATAATAACAGTACTTACCAGGTACCACTGCTCCTTGAAGAGAGGATCAGGGAATACATTGTGGGGGCTAATTCCGCGATACTGTGGTTGGTGCTGCTGGTCCTGGGAGCCGGTTCCGAAGAATGACGGGTAGTCTCCAAAAGCAGGGAAACTGGGGTCCGGATAGTCGCGCTTCGCACGTCGTTTTTCATGCTGCTGCTGTACCCAGTGCACCTGAAGAAAAACAAGAAATTTAGTACACATGGTGCAAGCAAGAGCAGTGTACATAACATGCCTTATCTCAAAACACTATTACTATACAAGCTTCTTGAGGATACATGGTAGTATTTTGTTAACGGTGACCGTGTTAACTGTGTGTGTTTGACAGTCAAACACTTAGTCTTTTTTCATGGGATTCATCTGGAGTAACTGATAAAAACCACGAAAACAGAATAGGATATCCTATCTCGGTCGAAATTTAAACCCTGGACCTCCGAATTCGAAGCAGAAGTGCTAACCGTGATAGGCAGTGACTGCCGTGGTTAGACAATTGTCATTCAGTTAATTTATTCCTGTGCTTGAAATCTCCAAAGAAGGCCAATTATAACCATGCACTAAAGACGACAGTAGAAGAACAAATAATAAAGCATATAAATAGCGTACAGATAAGAAATAACACTAAAACATAAATAAAATATATTAAAATTTACAATATAAAATCTGCAGAATATGGAGAAAGAAAAGTAAAACAAAGTATGAATACAATAAATGTTTTAACATGTCAGCCAGTAAAATGTAAACCTTGTTAAAATGTCTGTGTCTATGGTAAAATCTTGCACGTCGTCAGTGTGTCTATCCCTGTATGTTTAGTCATTTATGCCTTGCTCAAATATGTACAATTCAATAATAAAGCAGAAATAACATTTACTGATTAAAGCATATGATAACAGCAAAAATTATCATTTACACAGAAGTCCTATAAAAGACAGAAAGTACACATGATAACGATACCGTTATATGACAGAACAAAACAGATTCAATAATAACTACAAGTAACACGAGTATCACTTATGAGTGTAGAACATAGAGCATTTATGTGACAGGACAATGGAATAAATTAAAAATTAAATTAAATTAGAGGAAGACACTGAACATGAGACTAAGATTAGCATCAGCAACACCTCATGACATACAGAGGAGTATAAATAATACAGACTGGGCAAAATAACGTCCTTTAAAAATCAAATTATGATTCATTAACATTCAAGCGAGTGAAATACAACCCTAGTTTGAAGTTGTCAGTGCTTTGCAGAATATATTAGCAACAGAAGCACAAAGGTCTCAAGAAGATTATGATAATCTGAGCACGCTTCTGTGCTGCACAAAGTCTACAAATTACCCTCATATAGAGACTATTGAACATCCTGTGAATTAAATGACGTGCTCGAGTATACGTAGATAAAGCACGAAGCTCCGAGACTTGTTTCGCTTCTGAACCAAAATGACTAAAATGTTGTTAATTAAAGTAAAGCGACCTTTCTCACGCGGAATTCGGCAGTGGAACAAAGGAGAGAGGGCATCATCTTCGTTCTTACCACTACCTACGAACTGCACCTTTGCTCTCACCCCATTAATGGACAACTGTATTAACTGAATCAGCATTGTGTAGATATCACCATGGAGATTAATTTTGGGGATTGGAATTTTTTAAGCGACAAACTACAAAATGTTTTTATTACAGCTGACCACATAACTTCCAAATCATAAAAATGTTTCGGAGGTTGCCCCATATATATTTATTCCTTAAACCTATCTTACAAATGTAAGTATGTAAATGTTGCAACACGTTTATTCTCGAAAGATTTGTTTCCACCAAACAAATTACTGATTTAAGTTCTTCATGTCTTAAAACTTGGTGTTCGTTCATTTTAATTCTCCCGGAACTGTGATCCACCAATGAGGCCTACGGTCCCATAGTTGCAAACAGTAACCTCATACCGCATCAGTGCAAGAATGACCTAACGAGCAATACTTTCCACTCGCATTAGTGTAAGAACGGCCTACGCTGCAAGAATGACCTCCGATTGCATTAGTGCAATTATAACTTTTGGTGAATCAATGACAATGGATCACAGTGCAACAGTAACCTATGTCATGTGTCGTGAAGAACACCTTTGGAATATCAGAGTATTTTAATGATCACACATTTCCAATGTTGTTATATTATCAAAATAGTCGCGGTAGTATGCTATGAACATCACAGTAATATTAGTATTATGAAGTCAAATGTTACCTAAAAATGAAGACAGCGAGGAACTAGACAAAAAAAAGAGACCAGAACTGGCAAACTGTGGCTGAAGAAAACTTAAAGCGCTACTCCCGGCTCCACAAAGTAAGGTAGCTGTAGTTCTGAAACTTGCATTGGAACGGACTTCCGGGTTTTAATGGAACGACTGTCAGGAGGCTAGTGACAAGGGGATGGCACAATAGCTGACAGAAACATTTCCGCGCCACTGACTTCCTATTTGTTTCGTCCCTAGCCAAGTTGTCATGCCGAGTCTCAAACTTCGCTAGACAATGGACCTCGGTTCTATTGATAGAATGATTCTTCTTAAGAGGGCAATTTTATTTTGTTGAGAGATATTTCCCAAGTCGCTGGTTAACAAAAAGGGCGAAGCAACTCCTTGCCATATCACAATCCTCGACGTATCCATCTCATCATCAAACATTTTTTCCTCAGTATCGTAGTCAATTAATAACTTTGCGATCCTCCAAGTTGGGAAAGGATAGACAGCACCCCGGCACAACCCGCCAGGTGGTTAATCTTTCGTTATAATTCATAACCTGAACTCTAAAGTTCTACTCATACATCGTTCGAAATACAAATAAAATATAAAAACATACTTATTATTATCAGAAAAGCAACAGCCTGAGATTAGTTTTGGACCTAAGGGATTAGAGGCAACAGAAGGTCCCAGATAACTGCATAATGATTATCTTCATGATTTGTTTATTGCCTCCAAATGTCGTCAGGTTGTTGAAATCAAGATAGGACATGCAGTACATGTCCGGGGAGATGAGTCAAAACGTCGGCCAGACAACGTGACGGAAAGAGGTAAATTGGGAGATGTCGGTGCAGCTGGGAGTATGATATTAAAATGATACCTAAATAAATAGGATTTGAAGGTCTGGAATGGATGTATGTGACTGTTAAGAATTAGTTTAGGAAGGTCGTATGTTTGTTGGAAAGAAAGTATCGCATCGATATTATTTTCAACATTTCAACATGAAGCATAGGCCTATTCAACTTTTAGATTGTAAATATTATATCAACAAACGACGGCTACGTGTTGTAAGGTCCTGACATCTTGAAGATGACGTCAAAGATTTATTTTTAAGGTCGACTGTATGGTATATAAAATGTCAATAAGGCGACCAAACTTAGTTTCACATTCACCGTTCGTTTGATACCGATAAACCACAGAAATTATGCCTGAGAAGCGTAAGACGGTCACAGATCATAAAATTGTTACTCATTAAAATTTGCAAGTATGCAAAATCTCAAAACTTTAAGATTACCCCCGACAAGATTTTGGTATTGGAAACCTCTTCGAGTGGAAAATTTGCACAGAACAAGATAGCTGCGTTGAATAATTATACAGTTAAGAGTTCCTATGAAGATGGAAGCATTTCAAGGAAAGTACGAAGGGTAAGTTATTCCCAGAACGTATGATAATGCAGCAAACAACATTTCAGAACCGGATATATTTAATTAAATGGCACAAATGTGCCGGAGAACTTCTGACACAAGACAGAACATCAATGGTAATAAAGGCTTAATAACAAATTAGCGGGAGGCACCGGTATACGAACATCTTTATGTGCTTTAATTAATTTCTAAACGACACGTGCTTAAATTTAATACACACTGTCGCCCCAATAACCAATGTTGTTGCATTTACGTAGCTTCTCTTTGATAGTTTTAATGAACGAATACACGAACCCATCATCAAAACGCGCTGTGAGAATAACAAAAATCCCATTATGAACCACAATTTAGTCTCAACAGAATAATACTCCTACTAGAACGGAATTCTTTAACACACAGTTTTTTTATACAAACAAGGAATATTGTGTAATACTTACCATATCCTGCTGATAGTATTGCCTCTTATAAGCTACAACGTTTTCGTGAAGTAGGGGAAACTTTTAATAATATTCTTTAAACGTTAGTACAAACCGGATATAGTATCTCGAACTACCAACAACCTCCTGGTTTCTACCTCCCACAAACACAAAAAGAAAGATTTGGTAGAACAAATTTCGAATGCTCCATGCTGAAGAGTCGCTGAGAAGTTAATAGTCACTCACCTAATCACAGACAATGTACCGTACTTAATGAAACACTGAGGTTTAGCCCGCCATCAGTCCCTATCCTCAGCCCCTTTAGCTATCCAAGACTGCCTGTTCAAAACACTCAGCTAAACTGTACATCTGGAACACGTTTCATCCATTCAAAAACTGAAGGCAAGCCACGATGTGGGACTCACGTAACAATAACGAAATTATAGAAATAATGACAAAAATAATACAAACTGAGATCATATTAAAGCTTCTTATACAATTAAGACAGTGCACTGTAGGATTCCGACCAAACATCGAATTCACCAAAATTAAATTAGGCCTGAATTAAATGAGAGATGGCGGTGGTCAATGAAGACAAAGCGATATAAACATTGGCACCATATCTTGGTTTTGTTCTAGAGCAGGGGTTCTCACCGCTTTTCGCTGGCGTACCACTAATTCCAATGTAACACATTAAATGTACCATTAACCAAATGCGTTCAGTGAAAACTTACCACCAGTGGTACGCGTACCATAGATATAAAAACGCTGTTCTAGAGCATTCTTCTCATAAATCTAAATGCTCACTAACTGAATCTTGGGTTACTTCACGACGCCGTTTCAACCGAAAGTTTACAATGAGTCGAGCGGGAAGGGCAAGCGGCATTGACTTAAAAAGACTGACGGTAACAAAGACAAAGGATTCAGTTAGGATTGCCGCTAACACAACCGAGATTCGAACGAAGTACCTCCAGATTAAGAACATGGAGCGTGGCCGCTACAGTGATCCGCACAGTGCATACAGTCATACAGAAACCGTAATGAAATTTTTAAAATCAGTTAGTAATGGTTTATTGGCTTACTTACTTCTTACGAAAACGTAGAAACCC